GCCGTGCCAACATTGAAAATGCGCTGTAAGTATAACACTACATATTGCAAAATACTTTTGGATAAACACCCCAGGTTACACATCCCCAGTGCTACATTGTCATATGCAACATGTCAGAATTGTAAGCATTTTAAGACTGATATCATAAAAACTCTTATATGTATATAAAATTCTTGTGTCAGAATGTGACTAACTCCTCTGAAATAATTTTATCAAATTTTATATCCACATTCAGTACATCTGAAAAATTGGCTAATATTTCCTACCCCTAAATGATAAGAGTGGTTCATCCATAACATTTTTAACAGAGTTAAACCACACAAGAACTTATATTACAAAACCCTAATATTACAATATTATTTTAAACATTCCAACATTCTTATTTTGCGTAAACAAAAGTGTCTCACAGGCTAGTGTTATGACAAAATTTATATTTAATGCCTTTGTAATTAATTGCTTTATTCAAATACCTATGTTTTATTTTTCAGCATTACTGTCTCGGACTTCGTTAATAAATACCACCAGACAGCCTTTGCAGCAAATTCAGAACCTACAATCAACATAATCAGGTAAATATAAATGACACCAATTCTTCCCATGGTTGCCGGGTTCTACACCTAGCAAATGCTAGTACAATGTCAATGTAGGTACTTTACAAGTTTATCGAGGACATTGGTGACATTGTAAAGCATAAAATTATGTATAGCTGCCTGTTGTTAATCGTAAGACATTGACGGTTGTTACATTTAGTCAGAAGCCAGAAAGTTGGTCATCATGCCATCATCGATTTATTTCACTTCATAGCATCTAAAACGTATAATTATGTAATTTTTTTACTAAATAATTTGAAGTGCTATATATATTTGCTTTTTTTTTCAGCACCGTTGACTCCTCCTTCAACCACTAGCCTACAACAACTAAATCTGGGCCATGGACCATCACCCTCAAGTAATTATAATTTAATTAAATCCCTGAATGAGTCCACTTCATTCTCCAAACAATAGCTATACCAATGTTTATGATTTAAAGTATCTCATTTTAAAGGGCACAACTAGAAGCTAATTTACTTATTGTTGATGAGTAAATAAGTGCTTGTGCAGTAGACTGACTAAATATCGTGTGTATCCTATATGCATTACTTGAAACAATGCACAAAAAAGAAATTAATGAATCTCAGTCACCCAGGCACTTTCTCATGTAGTCCCCGTCCTTATTACGCTACAACATATTCATTCGGTACTATGTAGATATAACGTAGTAAGCACACTTTAAAGTGTGGTTAGACTAATAAGTTTGGGTTTGTCCAACAAATTATGGATTTTTTTGCAATTGTTGACTTCAAATTGTTTTTGTTCAAGTTTACATTTTATACTTATATATTTTTTTCCTTTATTTTAGTGGCGCCATATACAAAAGTTATAAATTCGTGTAATTATTCATTTCAGGTCTCACAGCTACAATGCAAGAAGCTGCTTTACCAAGTACTTCAGAAACGAATGTGCATCTTAATCTAGGTAAGTTGTGCAAATAAAATCTTGTGTATATCTAAAAAAAGTTTTGGATAAATAGATTAACTTTATTTAATTTATATAATTACAGGAGAAAAAACAACGGTGAAGAAAGCTAAGAGTCGAGTATTCCTTACGAATACAGAAAAGTACCTGCAGGATAAACTTGTTGCTGCAAGTATTAAGTTAAGCAAAATGAAAAATAGATTTAAAAAACTGTCTGTCAATGTAAAAGCAGCGAAACAAATTGCATCCAACCCTGCAGTATGCGACATACTAGAAAATTGTACGAGTACAAGAAAATTATTAATTAGTATGCAATGTCAAGAGGACCACAAAAAAGAAAAGGAGCGACGTTTTACGTTACAAGAAAAAATTGCTTCCTTATCTATTTTTAAGCAAAGTCCCAAAGGATATAGATTTCTGAGATTTTTTTTATTTTGCCTGCTCAGCAAACACTAATTAAGTTAGTACAAATTTGTAACATCAAGCCTGGGATAAACAGTAATATTTTCTCTCAATTGAAAAATAAAGCTGACAACATGAAAATAGAACAAAGGTTATGTGTTGTTATGTTTGACGAAGTTTCTTTGAAGAGCAATGTTGCATATAACGAGAGAAAAGATAAAATCACAAGTCTTGTTGACAATGGGCAAAACAGGAAAACTGAATTTGCAGATCATGCTCAAGTCTTTATGTTACGTGGCTTAATTTATAATTATAAGCAGGCAATATCATATACATTCGCGTCGAGTGCTACTAAGGGACCTGAACGAGCTCAACAAATAAAGGACGTGATAAGAGGTTTGCAAGAATCAGGGTTCATAGTTGTTGCTACTGTATGTGACCAGGGTCCTAATAACAGACAGGCTCTGAAACTGTTAATTAATGAGAACAGGGGAATTTATTTGAGAAAAGGTGAAGAGCCTAAAGAAAATAAAATTTTAATAAATGGTCAAGAAATTGTACCACTTTATGACCTGATGATGATGACACTGATGACATCTCCTCAAAGGAATTAGAAATAACTTTATGTGCAAAGATTTAGAATTCACCAAAGATGGTGTAACAAAAATTGCAAAATGTTCGCATTTAAATTTACTTCTCAAAGAAAACCCTGGTTACAAAGGCATTAGGTTGATTCCAAAATTAATGGAATATCATATCAACCCTCTAAAAATTAATAAAATGAAGGTTAAATTTGCCTCACAAATATTCAGTCGTACTATGGCGTCTAATATGGGATACTTGGCAGGTAATGTATGTTTTATTTATTTATTCAAACTTCATGCACAAGGCGGGTACATAGGCGGACTTAATGCCTAAGGCATTTTCTACCAGTCGAGCCTTGGGTGATGCAGAGCTGTGCCGGTGCAAGAAGCAAAGCAAACAGACTTTATTTTATATGAGTCAAAACGAGATAGATACATATATATGTGTGTGTGTGTGTGTGATAGATACATATATTTGTTTTATTGTATAACTAGAATATGCAACAAGCGAATGTACTATTCCGGAAAATCTAATATCTCACGAAAGTGTTATAATCAGTCACGTTTTGAAAAAATACTTGTTACGTGTTTGAAATCAATTGAAGTAGTTTGCAAAAATAAATATAATTCAGAACTTTAGGCGATTAAACTGTCATACAATTTTTTTTTTCAGGTAAGAACATACTTCCCGCTGAGTGTAAGGACACCGCTGATTTACTGCTGTTCATGGACAATATCTTTGACTCCGTGAATGGCAGTCGACAGAAAAATAGAAATGCAAAACCCTTACTAGGGCCAGCAACGCCAAACTCGGCACATCACCAAATTTGGATTGAGGGAGTACAAATTTTTAAATCGATGAAATTTGTATCGAATGGTAAAAAACAATCGGTTCCCTCCATTACCAATTGGGTGTGGACACTGAGTAGAATAAATAAACTACAAAATGAGTTTAACGTGTCGTCAGTGTGGTTGCGGCATCTTAATCAGGACCCCTTGGAAAATTTCTTTGGGGCGGTAAGAAGCCAAGGGTGCCGCAATACTGATCCCACCTGCGACCAATTCGAATCGGCTTTCACCACATTATTAATAAATAATATAAGCAGTGTCCACACCCGCGGAAACTGCGAAAAAGACTTTTGCGATGCATTGTATTCTCTCACCATCAACGAAAATGCAGAAACAACGTCAACCTGCTCATCGTTTGATTTTTCAAACATTATTGAATTTAATTTTACGCCTATAGAAATTAAAGAAAGGGATCCCCGTATTGTTGGACCTCTCCAATATATAAGTGGATATTTTTTGAAGAAAATTAAATCTAAAATATTTAAAACTTGTACAGATTGTTGTAACCTATTAATGGAAAAAAATGAAATTGAGTATATAAAATATATGGAATACGCAGGTCGACGATGGCTTTGCACTCCCAGTAAGAAGTTAATAGAGCTGATTTCCAATATGCAAGATTTAATCAAACAAAAGAAAATATAGAAAAATTATATTTAAAGCTAATCATTAATACAGCTGTTAGTAGTTTTGTTGATTTTACATTTATAAAATGTATAAAAGAGAAAAAATAATCGATTTTTTATTTAATATTGTTATTAGATTTATAATTTTTAATTACTGTAAAAATATCAATATAATATTAGCTGGGAGAAAAGATGTTGATGATGATGAGAACAAATTGCAAGTTAAAGCTAAAAAGTTAAGCGAGTACTATAGAAAAAACAAATAAACTAGATTTTCATCAAATATGTTGTTTCATTTATACCTCTTTTTGTTGTAGCAGTAGATAGTGTAATTCACTATAAGAATTGTAAAATATTTAAAGTGAATTACACTGTCTACTAGTTTCAGTCACGTAGTTGAGCAGTAACGAAAAACAACCAACAATATCTATAGATGCACATCCATAGTATAGATATGGTTATATATATAATAAAAATGTTGTCTAACATGGATTACAGATGGCGCTGTTAGTAGTTACCCAATTTGACATCGAAGATTGGTCTCTATTTCCTATTGTTAAAATGTACTCTGTGGGTGGGATCCATGGCCATCGGTATAATCTGCGGCTATCGCACGGGGAGAAACCACTTTGCTGGATCGACGCCATAGAATCTGGAAGCGAAGGCGCGCGTCGCCCGGGGTGAGGATCCTCTGTGAGCCAAATAAGTGCGTGGCGGAACGAGCTCCGGCGCAATCTAATGGCAGAGTGGAAGCAACGTCTGTGGCACCGGAGGGCCGGGCACGCTTTTATAGCAGCGCCAGCAAAGCGTGGACGTTTTGGGAAACTCTGTTATGTAAACGAAGCCCCGCAGTCTAATAGTGAAATACCACGAATCAAAGTCGTGTGTAGAAGAGCAACCGTTACACAAAGAGTTGTTCCGTGTGGGAATCGAACCCACGACACGTTGCACTGCATCCGGCCAGCGCGTCAAATCAGCAGTTATTGTGTAAAGTAGGAGCACAGTGAATAATAAAACAAAGCGAATAATGTTAAAATGGTATATTCATTACAATCCATCTCATCTCCAGCCGGCTACCATGTAACATCTTACAAAATTTGTTTTACGCCGACATCTTTTTATAACACCTAACACTTTATTATAAAATTATATATCTTTTGGTACATTCCATTTTTAGTTTAAGTGCACTTTTCTTTTACAAACTTCACGACGTATGTGACGTAAAGGCTACTCGAGTTAAGCATTCGGGGGAAATTTTCAATTTCCTAAAACAAAATGATGTATCGCAATACGCGTCGGCACTACGGTCCGTTGTAACGCTATTGTTGTAATGACTGCATCAGACAAGGTCTTTCGGTCCGACCGTCGTCGCGTAGTCTGACACATTGGATTGCTCGTTGGGTTGTAAATAGCAACAATATATGTGTGTCGAGTGAAGCACTCTCATGCGCGTTGTGTCCTACAAATAATACTAATACTAAAAGGTATCTTAGGACTGAACATAACTCACGATGGACGCAGCAACCCATTATACATACGTACATACAACTATGAAAGTGCTTTACCCGCATAAAACATTTGTATAAGCTATAAAATCTAGTCGGGTTTCCGTAATATATATTTGAGCTAATATATATAGGTATAACAAAATCTGCGGATATATAGATACTACCTTAATACATCTATTTCGTCAATTTTACACGCAAATCATTTTCAAAGTCGACGGTTAATTTCGCTACGTTAGTGGATGAAAGAGAGAGCGGTATGCTCGATCTCGTTTCCTTTTGGAGAACGGAGAATATTACATAAATATAACATTACATAAATATCAGTCCTGAAACTGAATTTGGCGCACTTTATCATCAACAACTTTCATTAAAGTTTAACAGCATGCAACAATTCATTTTTTTAACTAAAATTTTCAAAGTTTAAAACATACAGTCAAGCTTAATCAGCTAATATTAATATTTTTATCAACTTCAGTGCCTTTTCGTATCACGAGACAGATAGTAACTTGTAGATAAATTTGACAATGAGACTTTTCCCTTCCTTCGAATTTGATTATAAATAATTACTTTTTAAACTCTTCCACCGAATTTGTACTAAATGCTATCTCATAGTATTTACAGGGAAGGGGACGAAAACAATAAACGTTTTTATTTGGTAAAAGCGCTTAAAACGAGAAAAGAATTACAATACGAATCGTTTACGGGTTGTTTAACTTTTCACATGTCTTTTTTGAGATTGTAGGAAACATTGAAAACAACCCCTACACAATCGAGGAAGTACTATAAACAATTACAAATAATTTCGAAATGTGTAATACATATATATCTAAGCAGAATCCTCAAGCATGCTTTGGCACTTTCACCATAAATAAATATATGATATTCGTTTTTTTTTACATTTTTGCAAAGTGGAAGAAAGAAGTATTGTAATACAAACGCCTATTATATCGAAGGGAACATTTACAAATTTAACCTATTATCCTATTCAAACAAATATACACACACAAACAAAGTAAGTCATTTATATATATAAGTTTATTACTGAAGAGATCTGTGAACGATTTAGAAATGTTTATGTTCAAACTTGCGGGAATTTATTTAGCAGTGGCAGCACTATAAATAATAAATTATAATAACTCACAAAATAATTTTATTCAACTACAGAACAGTGCTCGATCACACCAATTTACCTATGTTTTTTAATTAATAATATTTTTTCATTATTCATACATAATAACCAACTCGAAACAATTAATTCTAATGGTAATAATAGAATAAGGGAAAAAGTAGCTTAAAAATTAATAGTAACATTAAATAAAAAGATACAAAATAAAACAACTAGTCACAGAGGCTTTTCATTCTCGTCGAATAAATAATCGTTTCCTCCGTCGTGAGCAAAGCGTCCATAATTTTATTGCATCACTATTCTGTCTCATTTGGAATCTGAGGTTAGTCATACTCGTAACTAGGTATAGTCGGGCTTCACCTGCGGGCGGGGCGCGCGCGGCCGCGCTTGGCCCTGCCGGCCTTGGGCTTGGCTTTGGCTTTGGCGGGCGCCGGGCGCTTGGGGCCGGCGGGACACTTGGCGCTCTCGGCGGACGTGACGCGCTCCGAGTCCACGGACGCCGCCAGCGCCGGCACCTCGGACGCGGACAGCGACACCTCGAGACGGCGCCGCCGCGAGCGCGTCATGCGCGCGCCGGCCGCCGCCGCGTCGGCCGCCGGCCGGCCGCGGGCGCGCGCCACCTTGCGCGTCTCCGCGCCGCCCGAGCTGCGCGCCTTGCTGGGGGCGCGCCCGTTCTGTCCCTTCTCGCGCAGCACGGGCTTGGCGAGCTCCTCGTACTTGCGCTTCCTCGTGACTCGAGTCACGACAGTCTTCTCGTTCTCGATAGACTCTTTAGTGGCTCGGTTCTTCTCTGTAACGCTCTTACTCCTCAGCACGCGTTTCTCCACCTCCTTAGCGTTGCGCCCCCGAGTGCCGTTCTCCGCCGCCTTGCTGCGCAGCTCCCTGTCTCCGTTCACCATCTCTTTCTTGGGCTTCGGCTCGATTTTTCTGCGTTTCCTCGGTACTGGAGATTTGGATTTCTTAACGCGACTAGTTTTGGGGAATGCGACTTCGGTGCCGTCGAGACCTTGACTGCTCTCGATGTAGATATAGTCGTCCAGCTTGGAGCGAGACTTGGAGTAGGTTTTCTCTACTGGTTTGACTGCAGGAACATCGTCGTCAATGTCTGTGTACGTGGGCTCCGGAGACTCTGCGAGTGGAGTCTCTATGGTGTTGGCTTTGATGAGCTCGACGTCGTTCTCTAACGAGTTGTGGTTCATCCTGTTCTTGAGGTTGTTGATGGTGTCGATGAGCGAGGTCTCCTTGTCCTCGGGCTCCGTAGTGTCGGACTGGGAGGTCCCCGCCTCGGAGGCACTCGACTCCCGATGTTTATTCTTGTACCTCCGCTTGTAGAGGTCTGCCTTCGTCATGTCCTGTGGAGATGAATAGAAAAGATCGTTAGTGGAAATAAAACAACACCAGACATATTTTTATGGAAGAAAAATAGAATAATTTTTAGATCTGTTGACATGACAATAGCTTATAATTATTTGTCAGTACCTAATATTGAAATTTCCAGACAACTTTCAAGTTTCACGTCTTTTGAAGTGAAGAGACTATTGACAAAAGTTATAAAACTTTACAGAAAATTTAAAAGAATCTTAGTTACTGAATTAAATATGTATTCCAGATACTAACCGCGAGTTTAAAGCTGCTAGGCTCGGGGATAGCGACGCCTAGCGCGGCGAGCAGCTCGTCGGTCCCGAAACGCCTCAACGGGTCCACTGCGAGTAAGCCTAGGACGATGCGCTTGCTTTCCGTTGATATACTCTCCCAGATTGGACCTGTAACGAGTAAATTATATCATTATTATTTGATTAAGGGCTGATCATGAATAAGGGAGTCCAAGGTAACAAAAAGTTAAGGGTAGCTATTGAACGTAATTGGTAATGGGGTATACAATATACGTTTTTGTTTTATCGTAACGGAATGTTGTTTGAACAAATAAACAAATTAAAAAATAAAAACAACATATTCTCTTTTGTAGACAGAGAAACTATTAAGTAGTGTTTAATGTGGTTTTTTAAATTTAGATTCTCAGTATAGATGGTTTATCAGTACAAATGAGAAACGAAACTTGCAAGTCGAAAATCGAAGCAGACTGTTTACTCTGAGAAATAAATATGCCAACAATATTGTATGGATTTCATACTTATCAATAGTAATAAGTAAATAAAGTTTTATTATCTATTTGACGATGTATTTGACTGAATTTCCAATATTACAAAAAGAATTTTCCAAATCATACTTATTTATTGCGATATTTAGACCTATAACTATGTATGCTTTTAAATATTGAGAACTACGCAACGGTTTTTGATGCTGTTTTTTGTTACAGATAAAGTGACTCAAAAGGAAAGGTTGTATGGGTAGCGAAGCTAGAGCGGGTCACTAATACTCAATATAATAATATTAATGTATAAGTCTACTATTGGTGTAAATAAAGAAACACGAATACTAACCGTCCATAGTGAAATTGCCAGTCCGAATCCGGTCCATGAATGCTGTGATGGGCTCCTTCTTGGAGATAGGCTGGAACGGAGCCTTACCACATAGCATGTAGTACTGTGAGACAAACAAAATGATATAAGTAAACAATCAACAAAACATTATATATAACATACAGCAGTTTGTATATAATGAGTATGTGTGATAGTATATAGTTTTATGTTTTACAGGATAATAAAAGTTATTCATGCAATTTTTTCAGCATTTCTTATTTATATATGTCTTAAGACAAAAAAACATTGCACCTTATTTTAAGTGTAAGACCTATTTATTGTAAACCTGTATTTCACATAGAAGTATATTATTTTAATTTTATTTATATGTATATTTTATATCGTTTTTTATTGTTTACTTTGTGCACATTTGGTATAATATTCAAGTTGAAGCTTTCTTCTGTTTATTATATTTGTTATTGTATATACACCATGTCTTATGTTTTTAATTATATTTTTCCTGTCACAGGTCTGCACAAAGAAAGAAATTCCTCTAGGAATATTCAGTGCAGAACCTTTGTACTTTTTTGGTATTATATCCTGTTGGTTTATTTTGCTGTGCCCTACAGGGTCCATAACTGATCTCACACAAATTTTTACTACCTTTATATTTTCTTATGCTAAAGCAATAAAGATATTGACTATTGAGTATTATATTATGTGTGTATTATGTGTGTGTATTTGAAAATTGATTTATCTATACATGTATTCATGTATAGATAAATCAATTTATATTTGATTTGATTTGTGTTAGTAAATAAAGGATATCTTTACATAAAAGTAAGTTGGTAAATGTCGTGTGTACATTAGCAGGGTCAGTATACTCACATAGACGACGCCGAGACTCCAGAGGTCGCACTGAGGGCCGTAGCCGGGGGCCGCCGCACTCCGCGCGCGGGACACTACCTCCGGCGCCGCGTACGGGAGGCTGCGACAAACGAGATACATATTATTTCTCCCTTCGTAATTCAGGAAAAAATTATACAAGAAATTGTTTAATACTCTAACTTGTTGTGATTTTAATATCCATCAGTTTGAATACGAGAAACTAAATAAGACATTTTTTAATTAAAAATAACGAGTCACTTACGTGAATTAATTGACAAAAAGTTCGACTTGTTTCATGCTAGCTTAAGTGTATAGGGCGACGTGAATTGATATTAGTAGAGCTTTTATCGTTTATATTATATAGGTCTTTACCTATGAAATTGCCGTTGAACAGTACTGGCAAGTAGTGCAGAACGGCAATTTCATAGGTAAAGACCTATTATTAAGCAAAGTATCTTAAATAAATCAGACATTGTTTAAGATACCTTGAACTTTATTAGAACCTTATTAATACATAGATATAAAGCTACTAGTATTTATTTATTTTTCTTTTTGGTCAGGGGAAAATAATCAGACGACTTCTCCCGCCCAGCCCAGGGTAAGGCGAGAGAGTCAGACTCTTACTGACTAAAAACCCCTCGTTTCTTCTCCTGTTTTGGGCCGAGGCCGCGGTGCCTCATTGCGCTTATCCCGCAACCCCGGCTGAACAAGCTACTAGAGTGACTATACTAGAGCTATAAGACCAACATTTTTAAATTCGAAACAATTGAAGGGAAATCATTCTAAGTACCCTATTTAAAACATGAAGCAAAAACAAGTAAATATGTAGGTAAATACCTGAAGCATGGAGTCATCATCCGGGGCCGGTCCTCGGGGCACTCGGGGGTCCGCCGCGCGAACCCAAAGTCTACCACCTTCACTTTGGCCTCTTCTAAACACCGCGACGACAGCAGGATGTTCTGTCAACAGTTAATCATTATTAGGAATACAGATCGTAGCGTGATGTTTTATAGCATAAAGCCTTCCTAAATAAATACATTTTAATTAAACACATTTTTTTTTTCAATTCGAACGAGTAGTTTCTGAGTTAAGCGCTTTTAAAGAAACAAACTGTTCAGTTTTGGATATATCTATCGGATTAATGAATGGTGAAAGGTATTCATTGTTTGCGGAGTCACAATATTCAAAAAGAAGTTGTCAGTTGAAAAAAGTTGTTGTTGTAGTTACATTTTTGGGAGAATTTAGAATTTGTTGGAGTTCCTATGGGTGTAGCTCCTGTGTAGGTTTCCATGGGTGCCGATTGTTTACTGCTTTATTTTTATAATAGTATAAATAAGCCGCAGTTGTTGTTCTTGTATGACTACTTTATTTGCTTCTGTGTATGGTTAAATCTATAAAACTCCGCAATGGATTCTGAAGTGATCTTTTAATTGATCAAGACGAGGTGTTGTATGCGCAAAACACATATACCTAATATTTGATTTTAAATTTTCGCTTTTTATGTTAACAATGTATAATAATGCGGATCATCCGCGGTTGATTTTATTGTTGTTAGGAACCGGACATTTAATGATTTTCGTTGATTTTGTTGTTAGAAACTTGACCTTAATGATTTTTGTGAAATTGCAAAACATGTGATGTCCTAGGGTCTATGAAATGTGACTACCTGCGACAAGGATATGGTCAAAAAAATGATGAAATAGATGTTACGTAGTTAAGGGATGGTCCTAAGAGTGTACAGTACGGCCGTCATATCTTGGCGAGTGTGAAGTTAGCCGTTTGTCTGCGCAATGGATCGTTTAGGAACAGTATTGTGTACTGCGCAGCTAATCGGCTAAGTTCAGAGTCGCCAAGATACGTGGGCGGTATAGTGAGTGTAGTACCTCAGGCTTGAGGTCCCTGTGCACGACGGTCCGCGCGTGCATGTGGCGCAGCGCGAGCGCGAGCTGTGCTAGCAGGGCGCGCGCCGTGCGCTCGGGCAGCGCGCCGCCCGCCAGCCGCGCCGCCAGCTCGCCGCCGCACGCCAGCTCCGTCACTATGTACGTGAACGCCTAAAGGGATAAAAAGGTTACCACATGAAAAAATCTATACTGGACAAATTACCTCGTTACTATGCAAAAGTCCCGACATTTTATACTGTTTTTTTTTTATAAAAACCTACCCCACACTGTTATTTTCTCCAGTGTCGTGGGTGCGTTTACAAACATAAAATTTCACATACACATCACACCTAAACCCAAAACAACAATTTGTAAATCACACAAAGAACTTGTTCCATGCGGGAATCGAACCCGTGACACGTTGGTAATCAATAAACATCGGCCTGTACAGGCCAACTACTAAGCAATAACCTCTCTCATACAAAGTAGATTCGAGCATTAATCATCACGCTTATTCAAGGTGGTATCTAAATAATCACAGAAAATCCACATATTTCAAAAAAAGTCACATTGATATCAATCACGATCATTTATTATTATAATTAAAAGAATAATTATTAATTAAGTTTGAATTTAACTACATCCATCCACTTTTACACACCACTAACTCAACATACACTGAGTAAATAAGTAGTAAACTAATAAAAAAAAAAACAATTTATCAACTGTTTGTATAACTTACCGAATCATGAAACACCTCATGCAGCGTGATGATGTAGGGACATCCTTGACACGCCTTCAGCAGTTCAATCTCTTGTTTAATGTCTTTCTTCTGCGTTGATATGATCTGTAAGTGGAATACACAAATGAGATAATGAGGAAATGAATTACCTGATGGTATTTGATCAACACCAGTGGAGTATTAAATGGATGTATTCAGGTTTCGTATTGCAAAATTATATTAGACTTCAGACAATCTGATTTTTAAAGGTTGTTAACCTATAAAAAAAACTTACTTATAAAATATGTTAACATTAAAACTACTACGTAAAAAGAGTAACCATGAATTTTCATACTCATTCTTGTCCATACGAATTTACACTTTGGGACGAGCACATAGCTTCACCACTGACGAACATATCAACATATTGACAGACTATCCTATTTATTTTAACGTTTCAAAAATACCAATATAATACAGTTTATTGGAAATAAATGGTAGTACTTTGACTAAGCCTACACTGGACATTATTTATTAACATACAATTTTAATTATACACATCACACCCAGACCCGGAACAACAATCTGTGGATCACACAAAGAGTAGTTCCGTGCAGGAATCCAACCCGCGGCACGTTGCGCAGCAGCCAGTTGCCCAGCCACCGCGCCAACCGTGCAAAAACTGGAAAAAAATTAAGGATTGGTAAGGTTACCTTGACAGCGTATTCCTTTCCTGTCTGCCGATGGATGCACTTCCTGCAAACGGAGTAGGAACCGTCACCAAGTAGCGGAGTGCTTAACTCCACCGAGTACTTTTGGAAAAATGGCGAATCCTGAAAGTAGGAGAGAGAAAAATAATATTAAACATCTTATGTCGACTGTAATGTCATTGAAAGGACGTGGTAATTAGTATTTTATGTCTATAAGTGTCATTGCTTATTACACCTAAATAGCTGAACCGATTTTATACAAAGACAAATAGAAACGTGTACAGAATTTATGCTAAGCAGTAATTTACGTAGAACAACTTTGAATGCCTACTGCAATTAAGACATTTATTAAAAAGCGAATCCTATATTTTCTTCTAAAGAGTGTAAAAAAAGTATAATTATTATACTAGTATGAGTATTTTTTTACCTTGGCAACCCATCCTTTGAGTTTGTCGTGTTTCTGTCCCGTGGCCTGCATCCATATCTGGTCTGATATGACGTTCTCTGAGAATAATATGCTAGGGGCGACGTACGAATAGCCTGGAAACAAAAGGAAGTATATTAAAGAACCTTATTACTGTTACTAAGGAGAATATTTTAATGAGTTGAATTGCGATTTAAAATTGAATGTTTTTATGGAAATGTGAAAAACGATATTTTTATGGATTTTATATGAGACTTTTTTTGTTTCCGCGGTTTCACCCGCTGCTCGACTCTTACATATTGTAGCGTGATGTTTTATAGCCTTAAGCCTTCCTCGAAAAACGGACTAACAACCACAAAAATAATTGTTCATTTTGAACCAGTAATTCCGGAGATTAAGGCGATCAAACATACACACACTGTTTAGTTTTATTATATTATAGTAAGATATAGACTTGTGACTTGTTCCTTCAAGCACCAATTTGAGGTTTATAATAATATGATTGAAAATATCAGCTACAAAATTCATTTTCAAGATTGCACATCACATCTATACAAGTACATTGCAAGATAAATATAAGCTAGTAGAACTTACCAAGGAAGAGTTTATCGTGATGCTTAGGCGCCTGAGCAGGCGAGTCAGTGGGGGGCATTCGGGTGAACTCGTCAGCAAAGTTGCAGGTGTCGGCCGCGTGAGTCAGCACGGGCACGAAGGGAGCCGGGATCTCGCGTCGCGCTACCGCCTCCCAGTCCAGGTTCTGAAGGAAGAAATACTCGATGAGGAATGACACATTAAAGTATAACAAGATATTCTTAGCACTAAGACTTTTTTTTAACTTTGCCTTACACTTGGATTTTCTCCTGTGTTGTGACACATCACACCTAGACCCAGAACAACAATTTGTTGACATAGTGAGTTATTCCCATAGGGAGTTATTCCCATAGAGAGTTATTCCGTGCGGGAATCGACCCCGAGACACGTTGCACGTTGCACGGCAGCCAGTTGCCCAGCCACCGCGCCAACCGTGCAGTTAATATAAATATTGTTGATTCTTTTTTTTTTATTGAATAGGTCGGCAAACGAGCAGACGGATTACCGGACACCCGTAACGGAGGAGTAACGAGTGCGTTGCCGACCTTTTAGGGATTAGGGTTTTGGAGATTTAGGGATTGGGAGGGATCGGGGGAGGGGAAGGATAGGGTCTCCGGTAACCTCACTCACACGGCGAAACACAACGCTGTGGTTGTTTCACGCCGGTATTCTGTGAGGCCGTGGTATCACTCCGGTCGAGCCGACCCATTCGTGCCGAAGCTTGGCTCTCCCACACTTGAACCGAATAACCTAGGAACATTATATTAGAAAGATATCTAACCTGGAAGAAGGGATGCCTCTTCAGCTCCTCAGCGTCGTGCTCGCCACCACCAAGCCTGCGTCGAGGATCCTTCACCAGTAATCTGTGGACCACATAATGGATGCATTAGAAATACGTTACGTTAATAACGTCACTTTATATTGATAAGAGTGTATATTGTATTAGAAAGTAAATTATGGCTTTTTCTTTGCGTTACTTACATACAACATATTTGAAACTATGAAGACTTTGAGCTGTTCTAAGTATAAATTCATATACATACGAATATGTAACTAGAAACAGTATTTCAAAAATGGCTTAATAGATTGACATGCAATTAAGCAAACTAGTAGAACATGTCTTACTCGCAATTCTGAATAACTACACAAATCTCCTTAAACTCAAAATAAACAAAAGTTAAAAGTAAAATATCAGTTTTTTATAGGTACTTATGCTCTAAACTTTATTAGTAATTTAATAATAATATTAATTTCCAACGAAAACACTTACTTCCTAATAAAATCCTGTACTTCGGGACTGACATCGGGGGGGACGGGGTAACTGCAGCGGACGATGCGCTTGGTGATTTCCTGCTGGGTGTTCTTCTCACCTTCCACCGTGAAGGGGGAGGCTCCCGTTAAGAGTTCGTAGGTCAGAACTCCTACTGACCACCAGTCGACTGCCTGTGGACAAGAGAAGAAGGAGATTTAGTAAGCAGAAGATTGAGTATAGGCGTTTTATTGAAGACCTAGGGGCTAGGCTTAAGAATGAATACCCGTATATGCGTATGGACTTGAAACGTCTATAGTATTTTTGTAATACCTAATTTTATTCAACTTCGATTTTGATTAAGATTTATGATAGCATAAGTTTAAACCTTAGTAGTTTTTTGTTGCTTTTAAAGTTGATAATCTTGTATTATTTACTGTACATATGATATTATAAATGAAAAAAGTAAAATCCTAGAAAATATATTTAAATCTTTAAATTTCCTTATTCGTCGTCATCATGAGCATAATTATCTAGATTTTTAGTTATCTCTAGATCTCACTCTCGAATAAAGATCTTGGTACGATCCTATTTTTCTGTTTTGTAAAACCCTCGGCAGTAAGAGAAAGAGTCTGAATTCGTTTGTTGAAGGTTTGAATATTTAGTACAATAATTAGTATTTGTAGAAATTATTATCTATGTGTTGCTAAATACAATCTCAAAAACAGCTGAGTAGGGTAGTTTTTTTTGTGAGGGGAAAATCATCAAATGACTTCTCCCGCCCAGGGCCGGGCTGGAGGGAGTGTCAGACTCAAAATGACTCAGACTAAAAATCCCCCTGTTCCTTCTCCTGCTCTGGGCCAGGGTCGCGGTGCCTCATTGCGCTTACCCCGCAACCCCGGCTGAGAGTAGGGTAGAGTGGAATCGCAACCGCGAACATAAGGTACTCCTCGAATGTTATAAACGGAAAAGTAAGTAAGTATTGACAGTAATCTTTGCTACTCTTTCACGCCAAAACTACTGAACAGATCTGAATTAAATTTGACAAAGTGATAGAAATTAGTCTGTAAAATAGTACTGCTAAAGGTTATAATATTTACGTTAATAAAATTAAACAGTATGTGGTTTAAGTAAGTTATGAACAAATTTTCCTCGAATAAAAGTAGGCGGTGGGTTCAAGTTATTTTCAACTAGGGTCATTAACCGTATAAATTGACGTTTGAAATATTGATGAAGTTAATGTTAAACACTATGAATACATGTCGTTGCTCTTTCAAAGTTATAATAAGAAAGCAATAATTGTTTTGAAATGTTAATTTAAAGCATCATAGTATTTAGTTTTGAAGGTTATAGGAAAACAAATCAGAGAAGTCGCGAGAGACTTTTTCTAGAAATTGAGACTTTAGAAACACACAAAAAACACTGAGATCCGAATTTTGGTCTCCAGATAATTTTCTCACTCCCGGTTTTCGAAAAGACGATCAAAGTTAAAATCAATTTAATATCTTGTCAAGTCACCTGATTGGTTGACTGAATTATCAACAACCAATGAGATGACTTGACAAGAGATTTAACAGGAGATTAGTTAGTTTTAGCGTTGACAAGCCTTTTAGAAATCGGGTGTTAGTCTCATTTAAAACTACAAGACCTAGTTTTTATATGTATTTCATCTTCATATAATGCTCAAATGTTTTACAAATCAAATTATTGTTATTAAGACCAACAAATATTTTAACTTAATATTATAAAGCTGAAGAGTTTGTTTGAACGCCCTAATCTCCAGAACTGCTGGTTCGAATTGAATAATTCTTTTTGTATTTGTTAGTACTTTTATCGAGGAAGGCTTTCCGCCATAAAAGATCACGCTATGATTTGTAGGAGCCGAGCAGCGAGTGAAACCGCGCGACAGAAGCTAGTAGGTATATTAATAAGTAAGTACCATTATTTAGGTATATTTTTATACGGCACTGGGCAGTGAGGTTTCCAAAAGACAAATCCATTGAATAAATAAAATTATATATACAATTTAATTCATGCAACACATTAATTTTATAACGAGGAAACCCCTATTAGTAGGTCTCGATTCCAAGAGCGTTCAGAAACGTTTTATCGATACAGATAGTGGATTCGGCCTTGGCTGAAGAACGACTACATTATCGGAAATGAATTAATAAGTGCACATACATACGCTGATATTGTATACTATGTATTGTTCTTTTTATAAATAAATATCTACATATTAGGAATTGCTTTTATTATTATAGTTAAAAGTATAAACATTTAGAGCCTATAATAAAAATAATATAAAAATGAATTGCAAAATATGTTGGTAAGCGCATAACTCAATAATTCTGTTTCTTTTTTTTTTTGTGTGTCAGGAGAAGGTTCTTATGAAAGAGAATTTTAGTAAAGTAGATTGGGAAATCGGTTAAATGACCGATACTTATGACTACCCCAACATACACTACTACACTACGTATAAATAAACCTATGTATCAAAACATTAATACACGAAAGCATATAACTACACGATAATACATAACACAGCTACATAAACATATCTAAATGCATCGGAATTCACGTGCAATATTCCAACTTAAATAATCATGTTCACATACAGATAAGTATATAGAAAAAACACGTGCTGTATTATATACTACACATACATACACTAAATATTTGCACGTACTTTTTAAACAGTGATACTAGGTTCTGCCAATGACTGTTTCAGGGTGAAAATTCGCCTATGTGTTATTAGGTACTGATGCAATCTATTCGGCAATTTCATTCAGATTCGTTCAGTAGTTTTCACGTGTGAGAGTAACAATCATTTATCCATACTTACACATTTTCATAATCCCGTTTATGATATTGGTAGGATGTTTATCTATGTATATTGTCATCTCTTTTACTCTTAGTTATAAATTTAAAAAAATTGTTTTACTGGTTTTGAAGTTTGCGTTTTATGCGTTTAGAAGAATAATTCGTTGGTCAAGTATAGAAAGTTGGATTGGGTTTATTTAATGATGATATCAGACTACCTTACATGTCATTACGATAATTGTTTATTTAAAAATTAGATACCTAATTTCCCCAATGCATATACACTGGGGATATTAGAATGACCTGGTCCCAAAATTTAGGAAGGGATTCCCAATTACACTCGTTAAATATGATTGTACCTAACAAATTGGTGTTTTTGGAAAATCCCTTTAATTTTGAAGCAGGTAAATTGTTCTATTTGACACAAATTCACTCATACAAAACAAATTCATTCTCGATGCATAATAACAATAAAATCTTGAACATTGAAAGAATTTATAGAAAAAATTATACCCAAATTTGATTCAACAAATGTCTTATTTACTCGTATTCACTGTCTGATTATATAAAGTAAATATTGACAACACTTCCCAACAGCAAATCCCAACCAATCATCACTATTTACTTACTAAAAATAGATCATAAAAATAACATACTGAGAAAATGTTTTCCCAAGACAAAATGACAATTTCCACGAGCGGCGGAGACAGCCGAACGCTTCCGAAGGTAACCGAGCTCACACGAACGAGCGCACGAGTTGATTTCCGGAGGAACCTTGGCGACTTTATTAAACACTACACGAAGAGGCTCATGTATTGTAAACAATTACTTTTACAAACACATTGAAGAATTGTTGTAATACATTACATTTGGTAATGAAAGTCAAAAAACATATAAACAGGATGATTATAAATGTCTATGTTGATACAGGGTGTGCAAACAAGTGTTGGTAAATTAAGAGCCTATTTCAGCTAGTCACCCCTTATCATGGTAACGACCTCTTTTCACAATTTGTCCTTTAGATAACCGCGTCTATATTTAGTCGTGTGAATATATGATATGTTTATATTTAGATCGTTTGCTCACCGTATGGTTATAACGTGTATCAACGCTGTTTGCTTTATAGTTTACAGAAAATATCTTGATTTAATCCTGTTTGCTTTCATTAAGCATTAGGGCTGTTATATCTTTAGTTTCAATAAAGAATAAAAGTGCGTTTGTTGGTGAATTTGACTATAATTTTCAACAGTCTACACCATCACTCCGGCCAAATGCTGCACTAGCGCCAAATAAATTAACGAGAAAATTAAGTACTAACAGTAGTTTCAGTAAAAGTCTTATACAGTAAGATTATGATTACATTGTATGGTTTTATGAAACAATGCTTTGCAATCAATAATATCATTAACTAAGTTGTGAAGGATTTCGATAAGAAATCCTATTATAGAAACACTCGCTTACGGTTGCTTAGCGATTATAAGTATTCGAATGATTTTAATTAACATACACTTGTAGGTAAGTTTAATTTGAGCGATTGAAACATGAAGGAATTAGCTCTGACTGTTGACGATGCTTACCAAACAAATGAAGGACGGGGCATGAAAAGGAAAGCCGACCAGGCCAGGAGGCAAGAAGTAAAGGACAAAGAAGAAGGTTTGAAATATAGTTTAGAGTATTTTATTTTAAATAGTATACGGCTGGAATTGTATTGCCAAAAGACAATGAGACACAGCTTCTTTAATAGACCAAAAGACTGGACATTTTAATGAGGCCAAGCAAAAGAGCTGTCTGACCAACTTGAGCATTTTAAACTGCGATCTGAAACCTGTCTTGGACCTGGAATGAGGGGCAAAAGCAATGAGGTACCGAGGCCTAGGCCTGGAGTAGGAAAAGGAAGAGGGTGGTTTAAGTCAGTAAGAGTCTGACACTCTCTGACTCCTTACTATGGGCGAGAGAAACCAAGTTGATTTTCAGCCTTCAAAAGAAAACCTATCTAGGAAGAGCAGAAATTACTCCATGGACAGGATGGACAGTACAGTAGACTAACTGTGGACTGTTGCTGTTGTTATACAAGTAAGATGTCCAACCAAAACCGTTGCCAACTTTCGTTTCCACAGCGGAAGTGTGAAAAAATAAACCACGAAAAGTTAATTTTACAACACGTTAGAAGACTTTACTATACAAAACTATAAGTTAGAAAAATCTAAGCATTATTATCAAATACTAAACAGTTACAAAATAAGTTTTCTCCTGCAACTGAACATGAAAATATAGAAAATTAAACTTTACTGCATAAACATTACAGTATAAATTACACTATATGCAATGTCTAGGAACCAAACCTTGAACGTGGAAGGAGCGAGGCCATAGCAGCAGTCTTACGGAAGGTTAGACTACACTAACAATCATTATTCAAAAGCCAACGTTAAATAAAGTTAGATAAAGTCGACATTCACTTGATATATTGAGAAGAAGTATAACTCTGTATTAAAATTAGCTTTATTTCGTTTGTTATAAGGTTGTAAATGGCTTGTAAATTTTTTGGGAAATCTAGGCCGTTGAGTGGTTTTTGGCAAGAAGTTTGGTTGGTAACAGAGCAATTTTACCGTATGTACGGGAATGTGTTTGTTTGTTGAAGATATTAGTAGATATTCTTTAACACATTTGTTCCTAGTTAGTATGCACTGGTGTTACCTTGAAGGGATTATTGTGAGTTGTTTAGATATTATTATGAAGATTATAATATGTACAAAGAACAATTACTGCTTTCTCTTAAGGTTAAATACAGTTCCGCATATTTTTGCCATTAATTATGTTTCTAATACTAGCCAGACCACTACATGTATTTTTATAAAAACTTTGGAATTAGAAATTAGTTTTGTGGAACAAAAAAAAACAATGCCATAAACTACACACACTACACATACACATCACACCCAGACACGAAACAACAATTTTTCGATTACACAAAGACTTATTCCCCAGGATCTAAGCCTTGACACGTTACACAGCAGCTAGTTGCCCAACCGCTATACCAACCGTATATGTATCTCAAACCTAATCAACATAATCTTTAACTGAATCCTAACTAAAATAACTGAATCTTAGGGGCTTTCC